CCAAAATACAACGATTTTATAGGAAAAACTAACAGAGATCAATGTGCAGTACAAGATTATTGTACTCAACCTGCCAATATGGCCGGTAATATAATTACACAGTGCAACAAATTTCGAGTCATTGCTTCCATTCTAAATGGCTCCAACAGGAAATGAAAGTAGACTGGCTACCTGAAATTTTTCGCGAATGCGTCGGCGGTGGCTATGCAATCTCTTGAAGTTAGCTCTGTGAACCTGGAACCCGAGTTTACGATATTTTGGTTTTATTAGTACCATTCGATAGAGAATCGTTTGTAGTCGTTTGTACCACCTTTACTTTCGTTTGTACCTCAGGACTTAAAGTGAGAAAAAAATTTTGAAAAATTGCCGGAACCCCACTTTTTGATTTTCTAATTTTATTAATACCTTTCGGTAGAGAATCGTTTGTACCTGTTTGTACCACTTTCGATTTCGTTTGTACCTCAACCGGTTCCAAAATACAGCGATTTTTTGATTTTTCAGAATACCGCTAAAATTGTATATCTCCGTTATTAACACAGATATCGCAAAACGGTCGATGGAATTCGATAGAGAATCATTTGTACCCCTTTGTACCACTTTTGTTTTCGTTTGTACCTCAACCAGTTCAAAATACAGCGATTTTTTGGTTTTTGAGAATACCGCTGAAAGTGTGTATCTCGGTTATTAATACAGATATCGCAAAACTGTCGATGAAATTCGATAGAGAATCGTTTGTACCACTTTTGTTTTCGTTTGTACCTCAACCGGTTCCAAAATACAGCGATTTTTTGATTTTTGACGATACCGCTGAAAGTGTGTATCTCCGTTATTAATACTAATATCGCAAAATGGTCGATGGAATTCGATAGAGAATCGTTTGTACCCGTTTGTACCAGTTTTGTTTTCGTTTGTACCTCAATCAGTTCCAAAATACAGCGATTTTTAGATTTTTGACGATACCGCTGAAAGTGTGTAGCTCCGTTATTAATACTAATATCGCAAAATGGTCGATGGAATTCGATAGAGAATCATTTGTACCCGTTTGTACCACTTTTGTTTTCGTTTGTACCTCAATCAGTTCCAACATACAGCGATTTTTTGATTTTTGACAATACTGCTGAAAGTGTGTACAGGTAAACGTCGTTTTACGCCGGTTCGATTTACGCCGATTCACAATTACGCCGGTTGGTGCCGGCGTGGGATTCCCCGGTTCGCCCGATCAGACGACAGTAGGCACCGCGATTCTAATGGCAGACACATTACACGTTGTTTTATTCTATTACCGTAACGCGAGCAGCCTATTGTGTGTGTGAAATTGTTTCGGCGTTACTTAGTTTTCGTTCAGTTTTTAAGAAAAATAAAAAGGTGTGATTATATTTTTTATTTTATTATTATTAAAATTAAAAGAGTATTCAATTTGTAGTTTCATTATGGGCGACAATAGTGATTCTAAACCCAAACATTGTGCGAAAAAGGCATGAAAAACAATAAGCCTGGAAACAAAAATGGACGTAATTACACGCATTGGAGATGGCCAAATCCGACCTTTTGTCTGTAGAGCTCTAAATTTACCCCCGTCCACTGTGACAACAATCATGAAAAACGCTGAGAAAATAAAACATTCCGCTCGACAGACAACGGCTGTAAGTGTAAAGCACGTAACTTACAGCCGGAGCAAAAATATAGAGAAAATGGAAAAAATGTTATCATTGTGGATTGATGATGCCCATCAAAAAAATATGCCTGTATCACAAGCAGCCATATGCGAAAAAGCACTGTTGATTTTTTCTAATTTGAAGGCGCAAGAAAACACAGACGAAACTTTCTTGGCAAGCACTGGGTGGTTCACGAGATTCAAATCTCGAACCAATATATGTAGCACCAAACTAAGCGGCGAAGCAGCGAGCGCTGATGTAGCAGCAGCAGCAGCTTACCCCCAAAAGTTTCAAGAAATTGTGGAACAAGGGAAATACCCTGCAGATCTCATCTTCAACGTTGATGAAACAGGCCTCTATTGGAAGAAGTTGCCATCGAGAACGTTTATTTCGCGAGAAGAACGTAGCGCTCCTGGATTTAAAGCCGCCAAGGATAGATTGACTGTTCTGTTGGGATCAAATGTTTCTGGTTCCTTAAAATTTAAGCCAATGGTAGTGTACCATTCCCAGAATCCACGGGCTTTTAAAGGTCTTGACAAAAGCTCCCTGCCAGTTTTTTGGAGGTGGAATAAAAAGGGCTGGGTCACTCAGGAAATTTTCACAGACTGGTATAAAAATTATTTTTGCCCTACTGTACTTAAATTTTGTGATCGAAATAACCTTCCAAAAAAAGCAATCCTCCTATTAGACAATGCCCCAGGACATCCGAAAAATCTTGACACCTTAGACACGGGATTGGACGTCAAGGTAATTTACATGCCCCCTAACACAACCTCCGTTTTACAACCCATGGATCAGGGGGTAATTTCTACCTTTAAAGCGTATTATTTGCGCTTAGCATTAAAAGCAATGATTAAGGCGATAGATACTAATTCCAATCAGACCGTTAAAGATTATTGGCGATCATACGACATTTTAAAAGGACTACAAAATCTAAAATCTGCTTGGAACGAAGTGACAAAAAATTGTTTAAATGGCGTTTGGCGTAAACTTCTGCCTGGATTTATACAAGGTGCAAGTGTAGAAGTGGTAAATAACATAAACGAAGACATTATCAAGTTTACACGCGAATGTGGATTCGAAGACGTAACAACTGAAGATGTGACCGAACTGTTAGACGTGCATGACCAACCACTCTCAAATCAAGAATTAGAAGAATTGATGGAGGCATATGATCGCCCTCAATCAGAAAATCCCGAAGAAGAAGGTGATGAGGAAGAAAATGATAGGAAAATCCTAAAAACGGACGATCTAACTCGTATCCTTTCCTCTATAGAAAGGTTAACAGCTGAGCTCTGTGAGATAGATGGGGATTATAATCGAAGCGCAAACGTTAAAAGAAGTGTCACAGCTGCCGTTCGACGTTATGCTATGATTCTGCAAGAAAGGAAGCAACAATCAAAGCAAATGAAATTGGATGCTTTTTTCAAAAAAGTGTGAGACTTTAATTTAATACCGACGAACTAGTGAGTTAGTATTTATTTTAAAAAAATCATTATGTATATCAAGAGATTATTATTTATTTCGAATATATACAGGGTGATTCATAAGTAATGGGCCAAATTGTAAATGTACGTTCAGGAGGCCAAAATAATAATATTTTCATTAACAATAATGGGTCTTAGTTTGTTCCTTACTGAGATACAGGATGTTAAAGCGAAAAAAATAAAATAGATTTTTGTTAATAGATCAGCTACTTTTCTACATAATGACTCATAGTTGACTTATAGTTTTTGTAAGGGTAAACAATAATGTGTGAGAGGATTTGAGTTAACTCGTAGATGTCGCCACATGCGCCATATGAATTAGATGAAATCAGCTACAAATTTTTTATCGCTCATTATTTTACAACATACTTGTTTAATTTGGATAGCCCCATCATTTCTGTAGAAAAAAGCTATACTTCTTTGATCTTGAAAATATTAACGATTTTCGAGATATTTGAATTTTACTAATTCACTACACTACATTTCACGGTGGTCGACGTAGCATTAATCTGTTAAGACACAAGCATGGCATGGAATGTTGACATTTACCTAACCGTAATTGATAATTGATAACAATATTAAACTGAAACCATAAAAAAATTACGTAATAAAACAATTTATTGTACGCCAGTTAATAAAACGAAATACAACATTAGAACAGACTTGAACTAAGACCACTTACGACAACTGTTATCAAAACCTACATGTTAATGTTGTGCGAAGTTAAATTAAATTTAAGCTTAATTATGAGCTACTGCAAAAGGTTTTCAACATGACCACCACCAGCATTTATACACGCATTTAACCGTTTGGTTAAGGATTGTCTGACTTTAAAAAATGTAGCAGGATTATTTCGTATTGAATTGGCTGCATCTTGAATTCTATTCCATAACTCGTCTCGTGTATTTATAGTAGGTTCAGCATAGACCATTGATTTCATGTAACCCCACACATAAAAATCAAGTGGATTAAAATCGGGACTGCGAGGTGGCCACTGAAATTCACTACCACGTCCAATCCAACGGTGAGGGAATGTTTCATTCAGATGTTCGCGCACAGCACGTGAAAAATGTGGAGGAGCACCGTCTTGCATGAACCACATATTTCTTCTTAGTTGTAATGGAAGATCTCCCAAGAGGTCGACTAAGTCATTATTTAAAAAAATTAAATATGACTCTCCATTTAAATTAGGAGGTAATTCAACTGGGCCCAGTAATGTATTGCCTATTACACCGCACCACACATTTATTTTAAACTCGTGCTGGAAATGTCTATCTTTTTTTAAACGAGGGTTTTCGGTTTCCCAGGCATGACTATTTCGCCAATTAAAAACTCCGCGTCTGGTAAAGGTTGCTTCATCCGTGAAAAGAATGTTATTTAGGAATGTTGGATTATTATTCAATTTTCCTTTTAGCCACTGACAAAATTGAACTCTGATTCGATAATCTGTTGGAAGTAAATTTTGCACAGGTATAAAATGATAGGGATATAAATTTTCCTTGTGTAAAATTCTAGTCACGGATGGTTGGCTTATTCCAGTTGCTGCAGACAATCGACGAGTGCTTATTTCAGAATTTTGCGCAATTCTTACCAAAATTTCATCTTCTTGCTGCGGAGTGATAATCTTAGGACGTCCTGTATGATATTTTGGACGAAATGAACCTGTTTCACCCAATCGATTATAAATATTTTGAAATATCTTCCGGTTTGGCTGCCTTCTGTAAGGGTACATTTCACGATATTTTCTGGATGCTGCTTGCCCAGAAAAACGTTCTTGTGCGTAAACGCATAACATGTCTCTCATTTCTTCGTTTGAAAAGTGATTATGTCTCGGCATTTTGATTTATGTTAGGACAAGAATGAATCAGTTTACTTAACAATAAAATGTTTTAAACTATTCATTAAACGTAAAAGCTCATTGACGTTTCATAATTCATATGGCGCATGTGGCGACATCTACGAGTTAACTCAAATCCTCTCACACATTATTGTTTACCCTTACAAAAACTATAAGTCAACTATGAGTCATTATGTAGAAAAGTAGCTGATCTATTAACAAAAATCTATTTTATTTTTTTCGCTTTAACATCCTGTATCTCAGTAAGGAGCAGACTAAGACCCATTATTGTTAATGAAAATATTATTATTTTGGCCTCCTGAACGTACATTTACAATTTGGCCCATTACTTATGAATCACCCTGTATAGGATATGCATTAAATAAACATGTTAGATTGCTCTTAGAATTTTAACATGGAACCTAACCTTATATCGTCCATTATATTTGTGTTCATTTTACGCCGATTTTGTTTACGCCGGTGTCTCTCGGAACGGAACCCCGGCGTAAAACGACGTTTACCTGTATCTCCGTTATTAATACAGATATTGCAAAACGGTTGATGGAATTCGATAGAGAATCGTTTGTACCGCGTTCAATTTCGTTTATAACCCAACAGTTTCCAACATTTTTTAATATCTTAGGGGAAACCCTGGGTCTCGGTGTTCCCATACTTTTCAAGTACATAAGACTAAATTGACGTTTGGGTCGTAACCGTTCTCAACTCTAGCCGGTGTCGCCAGGTATGCACCGTTTAATGTTTTGATGATTTATATCGACTGGACTTATCCATACAAACACGTGTTGTATACAAGTCAACATACTAGCAGGTATTTTCGCTTTTCTTTTCACTTTTTGTCACATTCGTCATTATATCATCTTCGTCGATAATCTTCACTGTGAAACGTTATTAAGGTTAATTCTTAGATGTGCTATGATAGGTCGTATTTTTAATACTTCTTTGCAAACAAGTCTGTTTATCTGGATATTATTCTTTTTTATTCTACTCTCGTCTTTTTTATTATACTGTTTGATTAAACGCTTTGTTGATTAATTTTGGGTTTCGGGTGTCACAAGAAGTTTAAAAATGCCGCGTGTAGCTAAATTTTCTGTTGAAATGATTTTTAATTCGATAAAAGAGCTAATGTTTTTTGATGAGGCCGGAAAATTAAAATCGTTAGCATATAATGTTTGGAGGCAGTTATAAAAATGGATAACAAAATGTCAGCTAAACACATGTATTTGTACATCTCTCGAAATGACCACGAAATACAAGACATGCAACGAATTTCATAATGTTAATCAAAAAGCCAATACATCAACTCCCTATATATCTAATTCCGAAATGAATAGTACCGGTGATTCAAATTGGTCGATAAATATATCCCGAGACGCGTTAGTGCCTCTTAGAGCGACAATTACTATTTCAGGCGACGATTGGAACAGTATTCGACCTGTTAGTAGAATTTATAAGGGTTGGGCGTATAATGTATTAAGACAAGGCTGGACCGATGTAATGCAAAAACAATTGTGGCAAGAACATCGGCTGCCATGTTGCTATGCTTTCAAATATCCAAAAGTTAACTTAAATCCAGGAGAACCATGGCTATGGATTAAAGGTTTATGTATCGAATGTGGAGTAGGAATTAATTTGTACGTGCCAGACAAACCAACAGATGACAATATCACGCTGCAAATTTCAACAAGTGATACAAAAAATTCAGACAACGAGTAGCAAAAGAGGTTACTGCTCAGTCAACCTATGCTTGGCGTAGACAGAAAACTAATGAACTAATGGATTTTGAAGATTCCCGCGCATTTGTACAACGAAAATATTTTACGTAAGGCAAAGCAAACAGAAACTGACCGGGAATTAGGACTTCGTAGAGGCATTGACCTTTTTCAATCAGTTATGAATTGAAATATCGTCCTGAATTTACAGGTACTATTCGGGAGATTGGCTACGATAAATTTTTTGTAATGTATTGGACTCCAGAACAAATCTTCCTTTACAAAAAGCACTGCAAAGACGCGACAAAATGGAGTAGACTAAGTAATGATGCAACAGGTTCGATTGTTAAAAAAATTACGAAACCGGATGGATCAAGTTCGCCAATGTATCTTTATCAAGGTGTAGTTCCATGTTGTTCAAAAATCTTACCGGTGGTCCAAATGGTTTCAGAGAAACACGATTCAAACTTGCTTACTTATTATTTACGAGTGTGGTTGCGCTCTGGTGTGCCGTGTCCAGCCGAAATTGTAACCGATTACGCCATGGCGCTTTTAAATGCTGTCTGGTTAGCATTTGAATCATGTGATCTGAACACCTATGTCAATAAATGCTTTTTAATTGCCGGTGGAAGCAACACCGTATCTCGTCCACGGTGTTGCATTAGAATTGATATTGCTCACCTTATCAAGCGGTATTTAATAACGGAGATACACACTTTCAGCGGTATTCTCAAAAACCAAAAAATCGCTGTATTTTGGAACCGGTTGAGGAACAAACGAAACCGAAAGTGGTACAAACAGGTACAAACGATTCTCTACCGAAAGGTATTAATAAAATTAGAAAATCAAAAAGTGGGGTTCCGGCAATTTTTCAAAATTTTTTTCCCACTTTAAGTCCTGAGGTACAAACGAATGTAAAGGTGGTACAAACGAGTACAAACGATTCTCTATCGTACTAATAAAACCAAAATATCGTAAACTCGGGTTCCAGGTTCACAGAGCTCTTGAAGTTGACATATTTTTGGATCATTTTATCGACTTTTCGCGATGTAGAGTGGATATACTTATCCATTTAAACTTGAAAAAATAGAATATCTAATGTTTATTAAACTTTTCGTGGTTGAAAATGCCTTTTTTCTATAATGGCAAATAAATTTGACATTTCATCCCTGTTGACAGGTAGTAAAATTCCTTTTTTTGATATACATACAGTGGTACAATAAAGTCTACATATACCCCAGAAAATCATAATATCTCAGCTCCTGGAATGTAATTCAATGAAATTTGTAAAAGAAGTGTATATTATTATAATATTTTACTATAAAAATGTATAACTTATTATTTACAACGATAAACACAAAACATAATCATATTTATAGCTCTACTCTATTTATAAAAAGCCTACATACAGTAGTTTACTCTTACATTCACAATCAAAACCACTCAAAATTTACATAGTAATTAATATTTGGTAGGTCCTCCCTTGGCAGCAAGAACGGCTGCTAATCGTCGAGGTATACAATCTGTTCAAAGAGCAGCCTTAAGCTTTACATTAAAATAATCACACATATTATATGTGTCGTTGTCTGGTAAATGGAACAACAAATTAAACATTTCGTTGAAGATTTTCCTAAAAAGCCATTTCTTATCTGGATCTTCACCTTCCTTCTTAAGTTCTTTGCAATATAACCCATACATTTTTCAAATATTTAAGCCATCTCCAAGATACTTCTTAGCAGACCTTTCTCGAGAATGATGGCTTTCATACGTAGGGTAGCTGTCAATGTGCTTATTTGTGATTTTTTCAATAACTTCATCAGAAATTTTATTAATAGGGACTTTTCTACCTTTTTGATCAGGTACTGAAATATAACATGTAGCCGAACGACAAATTTTTTATTCTTCTATGCAAGCAATTCAAGAGGTCACTGTAACATTTCTTGCAAAGTACATTGGGAACCCAAGTCACGTCGGAAATAACTTTATCTGTTGTGGTATGAAATGGCCACAAATGTAACAGAAATTGTTGATATTGCAAACCATTTTAGCGCCACAAATACTGGTTAGTTGGTCTACTTTCATTTACCATTGGAACCAACCCGGATGGTTTTTCTTGTTGCACAGTGTTATTAACTGATTATTAAGCAATTCTTTTTTAGGAATTCCTGCTGTTTCAATTCCTATAAAACTATCGAAAAATAATTTACCGATTAGTTTACAATTAATGGGTAGAAATCTAAGTGAACCTATGCTGCTAGCAGTTGCTAAGTTTATTGAACACATTGTACAATTTTCTCATTATACGAAATATATTAAAATTTAAATATTTGAATTTTATTATTTACCGCCATTTCATGACATTCCTAAAATTCTAACCTCAATCCTTACAAAACATTTCCAACGTAAAAACATTTATTAAAAATGTTCGTAGACTCCTTCTTATTCACCACAATACTACTTTTAAGCGTTCTAAATGCTATTATTCCAGATTTATCAGCGAAATATATTAATCCATTGGTAAGTAATTTTTCAATAAATATTTTCTAACCTCAAAATTTTTATTTAAGATTTTGAAATACCTGAATAGTTTAACGCCGAAACAACGTGAATTACTCGAAGAAATACGTCAATTAAAACTGGAACAATCAAAACTACAAATAGTAAATGATTTCGTAAAACACACAAAGATCCAAAGAAGAATCAACATGCTCAATATGCAATATTCCGAACTTCAAACTTCTAGTAGCACTCGAAATATGATCGTTAAAGTGGGATTACCGTATTTGTTTCGGTTTTTAATGGGAGTGGCAATCTTGTGCTTTATTATTATGTATCGAAACAATCCTGTGATGATTTTGAATGAAAGCATTAATTTTACGCCTTTTGGAAGGATCATTTCTTATCCTAATACAGAGATAAATGCTGTGTCCGTTCATTTTTGGGTTATGTGTTGTAGTACTGTTATTAAATTAGTTCAATTGAAAGTGTAAAAGACTTATTGTTTTGACGGTATTTTTAATAAAATTAATTTTGAAATTATTGTGGTATTTGTAGGCAACCCAAATAACATCTAGTTTCTAGAAACTTTCTAATTTTAATTATTATTCAGCGTTAGTTTGTTGTACATTTTTATTGTAAAACATTTTCGACATTTAACCGAAATGTTGAAGTAATCAATTTTAGACTGTTTCAGATTTTTTCCATAATCAACTTATTTGATAACTCTGCTTATGAGGAATCCTTAGGTGGATTGAGTAGCCCATTCCGAATCCCAAGCTCAGATAAAAAAGGAGGGACCTCAGGTAATGCCAGCAACCTGAGTGTATCAAATTGCTCGTAATTATTTCATTACCTCGGATAGGACAGAAAAAATAGTTGACCCGGCACGAAAAAGGACTCGATTTTGGAAACCACTCAGACTAGGCTGCTGTAATGTGACATCCATGAACAATGAGGATCAGGAAGTGCTGCTGGAGGTAAAAAGACATAACATGGATATATGTGCAGTCTCAGAAGCTAAAAAGAAATGCATGGGCAACACAAAATACGGCGAGTACATCTTTATTTATAGCGGCAAAGATAAGAATGAAAGAGCAGCATCTGGTATTGGACTACTCTTGCATTAGAGGTTCCAAGATAACATCGACGATATAAAATATCTCTCTGATAGAATACTGCAGGTGACCATCAGAAGTCTAAACTCACGCATCTGGTAAGCGTCCATGCCCTGGATACTAGCAAACCGAAAGATGAAATTCTATCAGAACCTCACTCATACTAGGAGACCTTAATGCCAGAATTGGAAACACTGTAATGCCTGGTGTGAAAAATCGGTTTAATGAAGAAACTAGCAACGAAAGCGGAGAACTAACTCATTTATGCGCAGTTAACGAATTGAGAATTAATAACATATATTTTCCTCACGAGTCTCTACACAAATTCAGATTTGAAAATACTCGTATCCAAAAATCAGTGATCGACTATACAGGTGTATTAAATATCTGGAATATAGCCAATAACTTCGCCATTTGTGGTTTTAAAGAAAAATGTTTCAAATAAAAAATACTTTATTAATTGTGGGGCATTTTTTTGGCCATACTAGCTTGTTTACATTGTTCTTAACCTTCCAAAAAGTTGATATAATAATTGTTGAAACTGTAATTTTGTTGACATTTAAAGCTGTTAACGGCGTTATTTCGGCGCCTACTTTGATTGTAAATAGCTGATTTAAGACATTCAAAGCATTTTTTCTTATACAACCATACGATTTGATATGTTTATCGCATAGAGGGATTTATCCTCTATCAAAGTATGCATAAAAAATATATGCAGCCCATTTAAAACAGCAATGTTGGTTGCCATAGCAACGAAACAAAAAACAATACAAACAAGTAAATATCGCCAAAAAATGCGCCATGATTAATAGAGAAACTTGTATTTGAAACATTTTTCTTTAAAACCACAAATTTCGAGATTTCGAAGTTATTGACTATATTCCAGACATTTGACACACCTGTATAATTGCACACAGAAAGATCCATCCGAATAGAATTGAAGATATCAGAGTCATAAACCTCCGCAAACGCTGGAACCAACCACAACTTAGTACTGGTCAAAATAATCATGAAACACTCCATACCAAAAAACAAATACCCGTTAAAGTCAGCAAACTACATATTGAATCACTCAGTTCTATCAACAAAACTATTATACCAACAAAGGAAAATGTTGAAGCTGCCTAGCAAAAAATAAAATCAAATATACTTAAAGCCACCGAAGAGGCTGTGGGAAGAAGAATATCTAATAAATCTACCAAACCAATTACGAAACCAAGGTTTGCAGAGGAGGTCAAAGAACTGACAAAAGAAAAAACGAAAGGCATATTTAAAATACAGATTCTAAAGCTTAATACTAGATGATTTAAGGCTGTAAGAAATGCAGTCAACAACAAGATCCAATACATCAAGAGAACACATTGGGAAAAGTTCTTGGCAAATATGGAACATGACCTTTGCGGAGGCCAAAAGAAGGTTATTTATCATATACAAAGTACTGATAACATGGACCACCACTTAAGTGGTGCTGCCGGTCCTCTAAAGTTTAAGAAAATCATAGAGTGCAGGAGGATGCCAACGGAATACAAAGAAAGTGTGACCATTCCACTAGTTTTAAGAACGAAAGTAAAAAAGACCCAGTAAAGTATCGGGGAATCACGCTATTAGGTTCAGTGCTAAAGCTATTCGTCAAAATCCTGGAAGAAGAAATATCTTCTTATGGGTTAAGCAAAGAATAACAAGGCTTTAGGAAGTACAGGTCAACTATTGACGCCATCTTTGCAATCAGATAGCTCATGGAAAAATCTATAAAATACAACAAAACAGCATGTGTTTCAGCACTTGCAGACCTTGTGAGACTCCTCAATAAGAAAACTGTAGACCCAGATATAAAAAAACGTTATATTTGAGTTCAATACGGACAATTGGATGCAAATACAAGTGGAAGGCAGAAAGACACGAAGAATAGCTATGCAGACAGGAATAAGACAAAGCGATAGCTTAAGCCCTACCCTTCTCAATCTAATTATGGACGAACTAATAACTGAATTTAAATAACATTTATCCATGTTGCAAGTTAAATATTTTGAATTAAAAGATTTAAAAAAACTTCTACTTACTAAAAATTATTTATTTACTCAGATACTAGTTTCGGGTATCAACCCCATCATCAGTCTGAATAGTCGTTGAAACTTTATAATACGCGTGGTGTTGATATAAATATACAGGTGAATAAAAAGTCTGGAACACCTGAAATATCTTCAAAACGAATTTCTTTTTGAAAGAATCCTTTCAGGAGTCAAAGACTATAATAAATTTGTCGTCTTTTCTTATGTCTATATATTTTTTTAGAGTGGCGTACATTTTCGGGGTCAACGGGGGCAACATTTTTTTAAATGGCCACTCCAATTTTTTATGCGATAATGTGAAAGAATACATTTTTTTGAGTATCTTAGAGCAAATTTTGCATAAAAAATTTTTTTTTTATTAATAAATATAAGATTTGGAAAAATTTCTAGTAGGCGTTGCAATTCCCATTTTTCATTCCATAGCATGCAAGGCCACTTGATTTTAAGAGTAAGTTCTGTATTACGTTGCCAAGTAATAATTGTATGAAAAGAAATACATTTAAAGCAGAAAAATTGATTTTATTTACATGCAAAAGAAAATGTCAATGAATAAGATGCTGCTCAAACTGTTCTCCATTTACTATTTGACAGTGCCCTAACCTAAAAATAAACTCATCTTGCACTCTATCAATTATGTCCGGTTTTTGCCATTTTTATGGAAAAATATCATCCAAATACGTTCGAACGGGAAGGGCATAATGAGATGGTGCGCCGTCCTGCTGAAACCATAGTTCTTCCTGTAAAAATTGCAAATATCATGCGGCTGTCAATTTTCATTAAAAAAATGGTCCCAATATTCCGTTTCTCACCATACCAGCCCAAACATTAACTTTTCTTGGAAACTGTGTATCAGTCTCCTGCACCCACCTGAGATTCTCTAAGGCCCAATATCTGCAATTTTGTCAGTTTACGGTTCCACTTAAAGAAAAGGTAGCTTCGTCCGAAAAAACAATATTTTTCGCAATGATTGGGTCACTATTACACAGAATTTGCATTTGTTCGCAAAATTGCAGCCAATGGTCAAAATCATCTTCTACTAGTTCTTGAGTTAGTGAAATTTTATAAGGATGGAATAGACAACATAAGCCTTGACGTCATAGAGATGGGCGGAACTTATACTGACTCCAAACATTTTCGTTGCTAATTGTGTCGCTAACGGTAAATCACCATATGCAATTTTTCATTAGTGTTAAAATAAAATAACCTAAGTGATAACATTTTTTGGCGATTTATCTTAGCAACTGTGGTTAGCAATGAAATAGACAACCTAAGCCTTGACGTCACAGAGATGGGCGGAGCTTATACTGCCCCAAACATTTTCGTTGCTAACTGTGTTGCTAATGGTAAATCACATTATGCAATTTTCCATTAGTGTTAAAATAAAATAAACTAAGTGATGACATTTCAAATGACATTTTTTGGCGATTTATCTTAGCAACTGTGGTTAGCAACGAAATTATTTGGAGTCAGTATAAGTTCCGCCCACGTCTGTGACGTCAAACTTAAGCAGTCTATTGTTTGGAGTCAGTATAAGCTCCGCCCATCGCTGTGACGTAAAACTTAGGCAGTCTATTTATGTCGATGTAATACATTGAGAACAGTACTTTGACTCAAATTCATTTCTATACTTACTTCACGAAAAGCCGTATGAGGATTATCAGCAACTCTTAACAAAATTTCAAGTTGCGCATCTTCATCGATTGTGGGACGACCACATCTTGGCAAGTCACGCGCATGCCCATGATCTCTGTATTTAGCAAGAATTTTTCTCATCGTAGATCGTGATATTGCTGGGCGATCGTCATGTACTTCATTAAAAAGTAAAATGTTCAACAGTAAAATGATCAAAATTCAGTCACTTGAATTATTTCGATAAGTTCATGTCATAGCGATAGTTTGAAAACACGACAAATTTATTATAGTCTTTGACACCTGCAGGGATTCTTCCAAAAAGAAACTAGTTTTGAAGATTTTTCAGGTGTTCCAGACTTTTTATTCACCCTGTATACATGTCACAAAATGAAGTAACTTAGATTAGACATATAACAAATCGAAATTTACAAAATAAAATTCTTGGATGAACAATGTCGGCGAAGAGAAGAGGCAAGACTGAAGGAATAACTGAAGTAAAGAAGGTTGGAAAGGGATACATATTGGGGAACAAACATCTAAACATAAACTGCTACGCAGACGATGCCGTGTTAATCTTAGACGACGAGGACAACCTGCAGAGAATGGTCTTTCAATTTGAAAAAACAGCTACCAAGTACCGCATGACAATATTGGTAGCAAAGTCTAAAGCACTATCCATATCGAAAGAACCGAGCACCAGTGGAGCAGATTATGCGTTTTAAATATCTTGGCGTCAGCATCACAGTAGACCTCCGCGAGGAAATCAAGGCTCAGACAACCAAAGCACCCTTAATATCGCGTTATTTGCGAGATATCATATGGCAAAACAAACACATGACCACAAAGTAAAATCCGCATATACAAGACCTGCGTAAGACCTGTTATGACTTACGCTGTAGAAACAAGGGCTGAAAACTCTACTATAAAAAGAATTAGATTTCAACAGTAGAGATGAGGACTCTACGATCCATAGCAGGCCCATAGCATCCTGAGGGACCACAAGAGAAGCGTAGACAGAAAACTCTGCAGTGTCCAAGATATAGTACAATAGTCCAGAACCTTTTTGAGGGGATGGATGACAACAAATTGCCGAAAATTACAAGGGATGGTATCCCAAGATAAAACAGACTTCCTGGACGTCTGCCCACAAAGTGGTATGAAAGCTGGAATACATCATTCAAGCCACGTCTCTAGATTATAGAGTACAAGGCAAAGGTCTTAACAAGAGGAAGAAGACTTATTAAATCGGAGCGGCTTTTTAAATTTCTTCCATTTTTTACATTTAACCCAAATGTTGGAGTAATCAATTATAGGCCGTTTCTGATTTTGTTCATAATCGACTTATTGATTAGATTACACCCCCTTAAAATAGAGATTTCAATCTTTCATTTGAGATACAAATCATTTCTACATCTTCATAAATAAAATCGGAGTGAATAAATTAAGCATTTGCTAATTCAAAGTATGAAATAGTATAAATGGGACGAAATTCTCCGTATTTCTCTAATATAATAAAATATGATGTCATATTTGCTCATATGTTACCTTCCAAGATTTTAACTATATTATTGAATTTTTTGTTTGTAAATTAAATTGAAAGAAATTTAGATCCATTGCTAAACCTCACCTACTAACAAAATATTTTTCCATTATATTGTATAATATTCTAAGTACTGAAGATGAAATGAATTAGTTTCGAAACATGTCTGCTTGAATTGAATTAAACATTTTAGTATTTCTCAAAAAGTTTTTACTTTTGCCTACCCATGCGTGACGTCACGAACGGGCCTGCGAGCTGTGTATCTGTTCCTGGGTGTAGCATCCTTTTAAATTCTACCGTCCTTGGTATAAATATAAAGTCATGTAGATGAACATGATGCAACAGTGTAGATAGCTATCCGAATTTGTGTGCATTAAAAATATTTATTCAAACATTAATCTGTTATATCGAGGTTTTACTGTTTATTTTATTTATTTTTAAATTATATTGCTAAATAAGAAGGATAATTATACAAGGTTGTTTAACAAAAACAAATAGCTTTANATAGAAGAACCTTTTAGATTTTTGCTACTTTTTTTTATAATTACGCTATTATATGTATAATTAAGCACACACCATGTTCGAGCTACTACGAGGGCAGTATATGAACGGAATTCGTGCTAGGCATTACTATTTATTTTCCAATTTTTTTCTGGCTTGGTAAATTTAAAGTCTAGTCTAATAAAAACTCGTCGTAAGCAAGGTTTCTTTAGGTGCATCAGCGTCAGTCAACAGAAAAAATATATATTTGTGGTTAACATGCTCAAAGAAAGATGCGGATTACATTCACAAACTAAATTTTTTTTACCACTATGCATTTTTAAAATCGGGGTGCGGATTAGATTCGAGTGCGGATAAGATTCGAGAAAATACGGTACTTTTACCTACATCATATTTTATGAAATAGTAGTTGCCTACCCATGCGTGACGTCACGAACGGGCCTGCGAGCTGTGTATTCTACCGTCCTTGGTATAAAGTCATGTAGACTGAACATGATGCAACAGTGTAGATAGCTATCCGAATTTGTGTGCATTAAAAATATTCATTCAAACATTAATCTGTTATATCGAGGTTTTACTGTTTATTTTATTTATTTTTAAATTATACTGCTAAATAAGAAGGATAATTATACAAGGTTGTTTAACAAAAACAAATAGCTTTACAAATAAACATATTAGTAGCTAAAAAAGTATTGAAGAAGACTTTACTACTAACAAGCTTATCGAAAAGGCTAACACTTTTTTTTAAAAAAGATATATTGATATCTTGGTGAAAAAAAACAAAAACAAACGTTTATGGTAACTAGAGTTTTTTAATAACATGAATATATTGTAAAAATCGCGGGATTTTGAAGCTTTTTTAACATAATTTAGATAGATTAATTTCTTGTATAAATTCACTTAAAATATCACATTTTTTACAAAAAAAAGTCATATAAAAAATGAAAGATGGTATAATATCTCCCTAATAATTTGATGATATAAAAAAATTTAACGATTTTTACCTTACAAAAGTAAACTATATCACATATGTAACTGTGACTAAACCATCTAAAATGTAAATGGAATTCTCTTTATTTGTGAATTATTAATTATTAAAATCAATACTTTTTTGTTTTTAATATTTTTTGTCTTATTTTTTTTTTACTTTAAAATATACGAATATAATCTTCTTTATTGTTCTCTTTGGTGGATGAATAAATATTTTTTAAACCGCTTTCTTAAGATTATGTGCTTATTTTTGGAAAATATGTACCAGTCTTTAGGTTATTTACAAACAACTTTTACACCTTTTTTTTGTTTCCCTTCATTACAAAACTCCTCAAAAATAAATTACTTACTACAACAAAGAAATAAATAGATAATAAATTACTTCTTATAACAAAAAAAAATTTTCTTATCCCGTTTCATACTCATTCCTTTATTAAATTAATTTTCTTTTAAGTTCTTTCATTATTATTTATCCTTATCATTAGTACTATTACCGCACGAAGTAAACGTCTCATTCCGATGATGACGATTGTTATTGTTATTGTGATTAATTACGCCGCCAAGTGTCGTCAGAAGACACGCTTTCGTTCTGATAAAAACAAAAAGGTTAAGGGCTATATCTGCTGGAGAATCGTATTCGTTTGGCACAATGCCATCTACGCTCGCCTCAAAATACGAAAAGAGCGGGAACCAAACACGCGTCCTATTTGAATCGCGTTGCATCAGCGCTTGATTATTCGATAACGTGTGATAATAAAGAAAGAGACGACTCGTTATATAAAACGCTATAAACACGTCTATCGAATAATGTTCATGGGCAGCTAGGATGAAGAAGACGCCAAACATGTTCATTATCCATGTTACCGTGTGGAGGAAGTATAAATTTCTTGGAGTATCTGAAAAACAACAAAAATTCTAATTAAACTTCATGATTAATTAATATGTCATTTAATTTTGAAATATTAAATGTTGCATTTACTTTCTCGCATACGCGAATTGTGAGAAAATTGAGTGTTTATTTTCATTCACACCTGTTAATTTTTAATATGAAATATGGCAGAAATAATCCTTAATTTTGTCAATGATGTTTGTGTTTTAAATAATATAATAAATCACGCATACCGCCAATTACGACGCAATTTATAAATAAAGTACTCTAAAAATTGCGTTGTTTCATTAATGGGTAGTAAATGAGTAGCCATTTGTTGACAATATGAATTTTTTTTTTATTATAACAGCCGTCGATTACCTTTCGTTGATTTAACCATTGTTGTTGTTATGCCTAAAAGTTTTGCAACACCATTCGCAACATATTGATAAGAGATCTTGCTGAAATCTCGTCGTTGTTTAAGGGCTAGAAGTGACCTAGATAGATTAATACAAAAACAAGCATATACAAAACAAAGTATTTACACAGCGGAATTGAGACAACTGAGATGAAAATTCTTAGGAGGATTTCGGGGAAAACCTTATGGGGACAGAAAACGAAGTGAAGATATAAGAAAGGAAAGCAAAGTAGGAAATATTAACGAATGGGTACTAAACAGAAAACAAGAATGGAACCAACACATCAAGAGAATACCAACTGTGGAGGTATATGTTGTCCACAATATAAATAAATAAATATATTTTAATAAATGATATATGCACCGTACACGATGAATATAAAGAGGAATCAGAAATCAAATAACGTATTTTTTTAACAATTTTATTAAAAATAACGGAACATGGCAAGATAGATCACAAGATACGCAACGGAATACCTAAATCAAGTGGAGTCTATTTCCAGACAAATAATAGGTATCTGGTAGGTAGGAAAGAATATGATTGGGTTAAAAACTTAGACAATGTTAGACAGAAAGGAAATTCGGCTCACTAACCGCGCATTATGAGCGGGAGCTCCGTCCTGTTGATAATAAATATTATTTAACCGAATAAGATATATTCGGACACTATCTGACAAAGCTTCTTGCAAGATGGTCAAAGAGCGATTAGCGCAAAAGCTTCCTTCATATATTTTAATACAAAAATTCGTGGCCCAATAATAAAACATGCCACGCTAAAACCAAATTTGGTTGCGTTCTTTCTGGATATCCGAAGTGAAACCATCTACTAATAAATGTTATTGCTTATAAATGTTGCATTCTACCTATTTATGTATAATTCAGCAGCTTGGTTTAAATTTTCATTAACATGAATGTAGCATGTGATATTTTTCATAGCGCTCCATATCAAGAAAAAAAAAGAATTAATATAACAACATAACTTATTGATGTAGGTGTTGAACATTTAATTTAACTGTGTATCATTTGTAATTTTTTTTTTAATTATCCAATTATGAAGTTAACGTTTGCTTTTGTTACTTGTTCTAACGTTTTAGTAAAATAAAATTTTTATTTCAAAAAATTGACCATGTTATTCAACATAAAAGTTGATTTTTCTCGAAAATGGTCAACTTTAGAGCTCATGACCTTCAGTACCTTTTTTGTATAGAAAACATTGGTGGTTTAATGGTTCAAATCATTGGCGTCTCAAAACCCTTTCAAAATCTTCACCAATTATGACTTTAAAAAATTCAATTATGACTTTTTTCTCGCACAAAACTTAGCTTATTATGAGTAGAAAATGCTTACAAAAGCTGTTATCTATACGATAAACAGTTCCGGAGATATTCGCAAAAAACGATTTTTTTTATTAAATTTCAACACCCTGTATCTCGAAAATGATGCATGTTAAAGGTAAGTTGAAAGAAACTTTTTTTCAAATTTTTGACAAGGTATCACATCCTGAAGTCCTGCGCATATATTATGAAGCTATACAGAGCTATTTTTGAAAAGGTTGAAAAAATTCTAGTTCAATAAAAATATAAAATATAGGTGGTTCCATTTAAAAAAACCTAAGTTGTGTTTATAACTCAAAAACCGTGATGACTAGAAAAATTCTACGTGTACCATTGGATTCTATGTGAAAAAATCTATTAGAACCCGTTTTTACTTTTTTACTAAGTTTCCGGATAGCCGAGATACAGGTGTCTGAAAATCGTAAATTTTGATTATCTTGTATATCAAAAACGAAGAGGGATATGAAAATTTGGTTTTCGCCATTATAAGTTTCACAAAAAACTAGCTCATGTTCGCGAAAACCGCAACTTTCTATCTTTCATAATAACTGAGATACCCTGCAAACCCATCGAAATTTGGACACCTGTACACTAACGTCGGTCGGCTCATTGCCAATGTGAAGAAAGTCAAGGGTAGCAATTATTAACAAAATAGCGCCTTGTTTCGTACTTCCTCCACAACAGAGCTCACTGGAGAACATAGGTTGAAATAATAAACTACTATACTACTACTTAAAAAAATTGGGAATGAATTTGATACATTAGATAAATAAAACCCCGCGTTAGTACTACTAAATTCGGTAATATAAAATCGGAGTTGATTGTCATTGCATCAAATCGTTGGGTACGTTCAGCAGGTGTCAACAGTTTAATTAAATCAGTCAACTAGTTGTATTAGCTTTAATACAGCGGAACGAAATCGGCTGAACAAGCAATTGAGAATTAGCGGTTTTGCATAACCTAAAACTATGGCCAACAATATTTTTGAAAATTTTGTGTTATTACAAGAGATAGTGGATGATGGTCTTGATTTTTAGGCTCATTTCATTTTATACAGTTCTGTCAGTTTTCAAAATTAAAGGGGAGAAACAAAAAATGTTAATCCTAACCTAGACTTTCACAACCGCTGACAAACTAAGCGCAGATTACTTACGCTGAGATATGTACTAAACTGCTGCGTAACAGCGCTTACTTAGCGTATCGTTCAGCCGCGACTGCTAATATAGCAACTCAACAGTTGACACCGGCTGAACGTGCCCATTGATTTCCAGTGATGAGCGCTGGGTAAATACCCGGCAAGTAGGTATTTCTAAAATGGGTATTTCCCAGGGTAAATACCCAAACAGTGGGTATAAAAGTGATACCAGTAAAAACATATCAGATTCAAAAAAAATTAAGAGGAAGATGATGAGGACGTTGAAAACGAGGACTTGTCAACAATCAAAGACGTATTATCATTAAACGAATCTGTCGTAATTTAGATTAGATCAAGTTATTATGATTATTATCATCAAGCAGCACTCTGCGTCATTGTTGGACATAGACCTCCTCTATTCTGTTCCATTCGATTCTATTCTATGCTGTCTGAATCCAATTGTTGGTCATTATTTTGACGTCTACTTAGTCTGTTCGCTCGAGGTCTCCACTCAAGCAACCGTTTTGTCTACTTCTGATTCTTCATTTGCGCGACATAACCCGTCCAGTTCCACTTAAGCTTTGCCACAATGTTGATCATATCATTTACGCCAGTTCTTCTTCATAGGTCTTCATTTCGTATGTAATCCATCAGAGTTAGAACCAGGATCGACCTCTCCATCTATCTTTGCGTTAATTGGCTTTCTTGGCCTTTTCTCTTGAAGATGTCTCTAAGTTTCCCGTAGGCTGCCCATACGAATGTGATCTTTCTGTTTAGTTCGCTTGTTTGATTATCTCTCGATACACGAACTTCATAGCCAAGATGTATAGCTGTCAACCCTCTCAATCTCATTATCCCCAACATTGATGTTAGAGTTGGGAACAAGAATTGTCATAAATTTTGATTTCTCCACGTTGATATTTAGCCCGACTCTTGCACACACCGCCTTTAAGTCGTTCAGCATCAGTTTAATCTCTCCAAGGCTATCCGATATGAGAACTATATCGTCTGCGTAGGGAAAATTACTTAAGCATTTGCAATCAATGTTTATGCCTTTTTGGGTCCAATCCAGTTGTTTAAATGCACTCTCCAGGACTGTGATGAACAATTTGGGTTCAATAGTGTATCGCCTTGTTTTACTCACAATCAGTACTTTACTACTTCTACTCTCTTCAATACTTTCATGCAATTTTACCGTCATTGTAACATTCTTGTAGATGTTATAAATAAGTTTAGTATATCGATAATCGACTCTGCATTCTTGAAGTGCTTGCAAAACTGCCATCAACTCAATTTAAATTAAATTTTATAAATACCGCTAAATATTCATCTTGGGTAAATACCCCCGGGTATATATCCAGGAAATTTACCCTTGAAAATAAATACCCGGGTATTTAACAACACTGTTGATTTCTCAACGCATCATTAAAAACATTGGAAACATCTGCGTTTCCACTTATAAGTCAGATCGATATAATGACACATGCTCAAGACTTAATTAATAGCATAAACACTAAATTTTGAAGAAAACGTACATGTTTATCTAGAAAATCCACAGAAATAGACTATAAATATATAGTTAGTAGTGGTGGAATGGTTACCAAACATCCGGCTTTGGCCGGATATTAAAAACCTATTAATACTCCACTATTCACAGTATCTTTTTTAGGTGTTGGACACTACCGATAATAATCAAGTTCAACCACAATGTCAATGTTAGGCATCGGCATGCTTTAACAATACCAAGGCACAATTATGAAATTAATAAAAGATCGTTCTCTTATTGTGTGCCTAACATGTACAACCCTCTGCCGGATTCTTTAAAACGTTTATCTTGTAAAAGATTCAAGATAGAGGTAAAGAAACTTTTGCTTAACCAAGAAAATGGTTTTGAGTAGACGGAATAGCGCCGGTTCCTTTCCCCCTTTCCTTCTTTTTTCTTATTCTCTCTTATCTTCTATTCTCTCCTTCGCTGTCCTTTCTTTTCTTTTTCTATTTGTTTTCTTTCTACAGTACATCTACATAATTTATATAATATGCAAGGAATTTGATATACTTTTATTTTAGTTATATATTATATTATATTTTTTTTTTCTCTTCTCATTTCATTTTGGTTTTGTTCTCTTGATTCTGCGTATTGT